GTCCTCAGACAAACCCAAACGCTGGAAGCAGCACAGCATCCAGCTACAGACAGGGAAAGCCAGGAGTCAGCCCAGTCCTCCCACCAAGAGGACCAACACTGGCCTGTGGCCTGTGGCAGGGAGCAAGCAGAGGACGTTTAGGGGTTTCTCTGCCCTTAATCTGGATGTTGACTCGTCCCCCACTGGGCCACGTTTTGGGAGCTGCTCCCCCATCGTAGTGCAGTAACACAGTGCTCAGCCCAACGGGATGACTTGCTGCTACAGGAGGCAAGCAGAGGGCATGGGGAGGACGAGATCAGAGTCCAGGCCACCCGAGGATGACAGCAGGGCCACCCTCTTTATTCTGGCCGTGGCAAAGGCTCTGATGGAGCTGGGGGCGAAGCAGGCAGGGCTAACAGGGTGAACTCGGCCAGCACAACAGGGTACTTCAGGGCATCGAGGTGCTTCTCGCCTGCAAATCCAGGTCACGCGTCTCTCCCTCTACCCACTCTGCCACCCACGGAGCAGGGTTGTGTCCCCGAGCACTAGCACCAATAGGCAGCTCCCATTCTGTAGCCCCCTCCAGCACACCGGGCCACGTGGAAACCAACTCGCCAAGGTCTGGGACAAGAGGGTGGGAAGACTTGCTGGAAACACAAGCTGTAACCAAACGCAGGACACGTGGGGACAGCCCAGAGACTAAATCAGGTGCAAGGAGCTTGTCTGCGAGTTCCTGGTGGGGTAGAAGTACCCAGATGGGAGCCACAGGACAGGCAAGGGAAGAGCAGCAAATCCATATGAGCAATAGACGTTCCAGTTACCTGGGAAAGGCCCAAGACGCTGGGCTCCTAAAGAAGAAGGTATTTAACGCACAAGAGGGCAAAACTCCATCCTCAAATGTCTCTACAGTCTGGCAGCCCTCATTACCCCACAGGAACTGTTGGCCCAGCATGGAGGAAGGAGCATGAGGGCAAAACCCAGCTCTTGCTGAGCAAGGACCCTCTGGAGATGACTTCCAAGCAAGCCCAAAGAAGCCAGAGGGTGATCTCAAACCTCAGAGGCTTCACCAATCACTGGGAGTATGAGCCCAGATGCACTAACTGCATCACGGCCCTGTGCTCTCCTGTTTCCCAGCTCCTTGAAGGAGCAAGAAAACAGGCCCTGGGGACTGACACTGCAGTGCAGTTTCAGACAGGAGCAGCAAGCTGGTGACTGCTCCTCTTTTGCCTCATTCTTTCCCTTTCCTCCCTTCGTAGCCATTATTTTGTTCTCATTCTTGATTTCTCCAGCAATTTCCATCCTCAGGTGAGGACTTTAGACCTCTTGTTAACCAGGCTTGGTGGGATTGACGCACTGACCAAACCAGCACCAACGAGATGCCCATGTAGCACCCGTGCAGCCACACGGCAGATCTGGTCTTAAACTTGCGGAATTCCTGTCACAGTGGCAGTAGGATCCATGTGAACCCTGATTGAGTTGTCTCTTAGCAGGTAAACACCCATCCCTTGAAGCAGGGAGATCTTGCAAGGTCCCTGGCCCCCCAGAACCTGAGTCTATCACCAGGCTCCCACATCCCCTCCAAGCATCCTGGAGAAACGTGGACCAGGACCAGCTACAGTCCCCCCAGGACTCGATTCCCCGAAAGCTGTCATGCCGCCAGCCCAAATATAGGTTCAATTTGCCGAATTGTTTTGGCATTGGAAAAAAAAAAAAAAAAAAAAAAAAACTTGTTTCAAGGCAAGACTCCCAATGTGGTTGTGGGTGGAGAGACTCCGTGCACTGGGACCAGCACCCAAAAGCGTGGGCTCCCCACCACCACCTCCCGGCATGTTGCATCCTGCTTCTCCACAGCTTTGAACCCACCTTCCGAGTCATCCCATGGGCCCCAGACGGGCGGGCGCGTCGGCCTTCGCTCCGGAGCCCTTCAAAGGGAAGCGCCGCCGGAGGGACCTGCTCTTCCCTCCTCCTCCTCCTCCTCCTTCCAGGTTTGCTCCCAGCTCTGCGGAAAGGACGGGCCCTGGCCGAGGGGTCAGTGATGCTCGTGGCTCCCCGTGTCACCGCAGAGCAGCAGGGACAGCAGCCCCAGGACGAGGACGGGGACTCGGCCCACGGCTTCGCTCATCTCCTCCTTTGGGAAGGACGGGACCTGACAGCCCCGCTCGCTCGGGGTTGCTGCTGCTTCCAGAGGCTCCGTGGCAGCTCACGCACGTGCTGCTAACAGAGGCAGCCACCCTATAATAATCTACCATCGTATTATTACTATTAATTATATATTAACAAACCCCATAATCTTAACTGCTGCTCTCACGGGGTGGGAGCTGCTTTCAAAACCCACCTCATTAGTTGTCCTTTGGCTCTTACACCATCCACCACGTGAGCCGGACCAGGAGGCCACTGCCGGATCCACCAGGATCCCTGCACGCCGCTCCGAGATTTAAGGCCGGGACAGGGCTGGAGTCCCTTGGGAAGGCACCGACCTCCAAGCAGCTCCACGCTGCCCAGGGGCCGCAGGAGCACCCAGCCCGTGACGTGGAGCCCAGGGAAGCAGAAGGACTGAGGTTTCACCCCCGCGGTGTCGGGGCACTTTGCACAGCAATAGCTGCCTGGGTGCCCACGAGGTGCATCCGAACCCAACACCGGAGAGGCAGCAGGGTGCAAGACCAGGAGCATGATGAGAAGCACCATCTGCATCTGCGCTGTCCTGCTGCTCTGTCCTGCTGCTCTACACCGCTCCCCGACAGCTCTCATGGAGGCAGGAGGTATCCTGGGAAACTTAGGGGGCTTTTTGCACAGCTCATCTGTTAAAATAACCCGATACGCAGAAAAGCTGGTTAAAACTATCGTGAAACAGGCAGCAATGCCCAAATGCCAATTAATGGGGCATAAACACAAGTTAAGGGACTAAAACACGCTGCTGCGGAGAGGTCAAGCAGCTCGTGCCTTCGTAGGGCGCCTTTGGAGGAGCCCTCGCGTGCGCCCGCACAGGCGCCCAAAGCACCGCACGGGCGGCCCGCGCGTCCCGACACCGCTCCCCATGCCCACAAGCACCACGGAGCGCCTGTGCGTGCGGATGCGCACAAAAACAGGCCGCGAAGAGGACGGCGCCTGCCCCTTTTCAGCTTCGTTGACACTTTTTGGTAGAAGAGCCTAAAGCAAACATGATCCACAGAAGGGCAATTTTCTAATCTTTAATACTTGCGTGCACGAACACATGTAGAGCCCTGGCGCTGCCCGGGGAATGCGTTTTACAGGAGCTGTTTCAGGCTGTGAAAAAGCTCAGGGAAAAGAGAAAAAAAAAATCGCTACTGGCTAGTATTACACAGCTTGCTAATGTGAATGTTAAGGAGAGGATTAAGTCTTTGGGGAAAGGCTATAGCTATAGCGAAGGAGCAGCTTTGCAAGCTCGAATGCCAAGAGATGTTCTCCAGTGGCAATAAGGAAGCCTGAGGATTGAAATCCTCCCAGAGAAAGCCCATAGCATCCAAGGCTGCAGGGGAGCCTGCGTGGATCCAGGTTACACAGCACTCCCGTGGGATAACGTGTGCTGTGCGCAAGGATGGGTCTTATTTTTAAGCATTTTTAAGGGGCTATGGCAGTTCTCAGGAAGAGCTGGACATCTACTTTTCCTTCTCAAACCCAAGAGCAAATACTGGCAGACTTAGAGTCATCTACTAGAATTCACAGATCAGCAATGACCTTCCCAAGACCAGATACATAGATCTCCAGACCTTCACTGAGAAGCAAACTTGGTCCCATCTGTTGGCTACTTGATTTTTACACTTTCCCTATGAAATATTAAGTGGTTGCCACCACTTGAGATGGAACATCCATCTGGAAAGCATCTATAAAGCATTCCCAGTGTTTTAACTGTGTTAAATAAACCCCTTGGCTCCTCTGGCCAAAGTCAGCACTGGACTCTCCTTACCAGTTGTTTATCCCTTAAAAAAAAGCAAGAGAAACACGAATGCATTCTTGTAAGAAAGGAGAAAATATAATCTCTTTATTTTCAGTATACACACTAAATCCCACCATTAAAATAAGGATAATGAGTTTGCACACATGAATAAAATACGCGGCACTTAAAAAAGAGCCCAGTTTTGCCATGTTTGCCTCACGAAGCGCAAGCCATGTGGTGTCCAGACCTCTCCAGCACCGTTTCCAAAAGCGGCCGCATCGCTCCGCGTCTCTTCCAGTACGGAAACGCTCTCGGTTTGCACGTGAACGCTCTGACACGTTCCTGTAAGCCCCGAAATACTAATTAGGTGCAACACTGAATTCACGAGCTCCCAAACGAGGCCGGGTCCCCCTCGCCTCGGAGCTGGGCTCACTCACACATGGAGGTGAAGCCGGCGAGCCGGAGCGATGCGGAGGCTCCGGAGGCGCTGGAAGAGGGTGCCCGGAGAGCTGCAGCCTGCAAGGGCAGGCAGCAAAAAGCATCTTGCAGTTCATTCTAAATCCATCGAGCCGGTCTTTGCTGGAAAAAAAAGGGATGATCCGGGCTCTACCGGCAAAGCCCATCGGTGCCTAGAGGTTCCCAGCGCTCTGCGGGGGTATCTTGCGTTCCCAAACACGCAAGCACCTTCCGACCGGAATTTTGGGATGCAGACAAGGTAGCCCTCGGTGCACGGGAGCAAAACCTTTGCATATTGCACATCTAATCGCGACCGGAGGTTATACTGAGTGTCTTTATGGAATAATACAGGACTTTGGGGGACTTCTAAGCAAACACTGCCTCAAAGGCTCAGTATGGATTCACAATGTAATATGGGAATATCAGCCTACTCTAGACCACCACTGGCAACTACCTGGATCTTCTCTTAAATGTACATGGTGCAAAATCACGTTCTACACAAAACCCTTCTGGTTAGATCCTTGTTTTACAGCCTCTCTTGCTAACCCAAATCTTCAGATGAGTTCTGACTGCAAACGCCGCCTCCAACTCCCCTCAACATAAAATTTATAGAATTATTTTCTGCCTACTGATGCTCCAAATGCAACGTTGCCTACACGAACACAAAGCTAATTCTTCCAGTAGATGATCTAAAAACAGTTTTGTTTGCAAACAGCAGGTGGACCAAAGCGGGCTCTAGATTGCCAAGTCTCCAAGCTTCCCATACCACGAAGTGAGGTAGCAACAAACAGCCTTTGAAACAGGACTGCTCGCTTTATTTTTCCTATAATAAATCCCTTTGCCACGCAATTTAGCAAGTGAACTAGAGGCTTCTCTGGAGCAGTGGAAGCAGAAAAAAATGAAAAGATGGTAAATATGGGATGAGCGAGAAGAACTAGGCCAAAAGTTTTGCAAAGTTTGCCTTTTTGGTACCAGCACTGAGCACGGCTCTTTCTCAAGCAGAGAGAAACGTGGAACGCTGCAGTCTCTTGGGGAGCTTAAAGTCCGAGCGATTTCTGCACAATCTGCTTGGCAATTTTGTTAAATTGTTCTCTGTCTTCTCGCCACATCTTGGAGGCATCTACATTGGCTCCACTTTCATCATTCGGCTCTGAAATGAGAAGATGGCAAGATAGGTGGCCAGGCAGGCATGTCTGGCAAGGCCCTCTCACTTTTCCAGCAATGCTGCCACACAGGTGCTTTCCTGTGGCTTTGGCACATTCCCTCTGCTTGGGATTACGGCAGAAACATTAAAGGAAACAGCCTAGGTCATGGAAGACCTCTTAGGCTCCCGTCTTTCTCGACACAACGCAGATAATCTGCCATTAAAGGGCATCCCTGGGGTCCAACGGGTAGGTCGCTCAGCTGGGTACCTCACGGTGACAATTCACAAGGAATCTGCTGCTTTACCCTTGTTCGGTTTTGCTGCTTCTGACACCCAAACCTTTATCACACAAGACTGCTCAGAGGTGACATGAAAGGTGACTCAAGAAGTCCTCCGTGACACCCCTCTCCTCCAGAAGGCCTCCTCTAACTCAGAGATGGCAGCATGGGGTACGTTTCCCAGCCTGGCACACCGACATGTAGAAACAGAGGCAGCTGGTTGGTGGATCCCAGGGGACTCCAGCTGACAACCTTTGTGTTGCTAAAGCTAAACCCAGCTCGGGGAGCTAATCCAAAGCCCTAAAAGACCCGTAACAGCCGAACGGGACACCAGAGCAGCTATAAAGAGGCAGTCCTCACCTGCCAGCATGCTCACGACTGACAGCAGGATCTTTTCGACGCTCTGCACAGGACTCCACCGCTCCGCGCTGCTCTCGTATCCCATGGGATCGTCGCCAGGAGCATGGAGAATAGAGATGCAAACTCTCCCATCTGGGTAAACTGCACAAGTATAAGGGATTGACTGTTACTCAAAGGAAACACTTGGCCCCTCCAGATCTGTAGCAGAGATTTTGACTGGAAAGAAAAAAAAATCTAGCAAAAACATGCTTTAAGCAATTCTAACAAACCAGGGTCATCCTTCCCCAGCAGAAGCCTGTGGGGACCACTCAAACCCCTTGACATCTGTGACAGGTTCCTTGGGAAAAACTAAGAGAGGTCACTTGGTGGAACAAGTCGAGTATTTAGGCACAGATGTAACCCCAAGTAGCTGAGTGGTCCTGCTTAAACCAAAGGGGACAGTCAAACAGCACTGAATACACATACACACTGAACACACACTGAATACATTTGAGTCTTTCGCTGCACCCAAGTCCCTCCTTGGACTTGAGGATGAGACCTGAGGGAGGTTGAAGAGGCAGCACCAAGAGACAATGAAGGTCCAAACGCTGCGGTAGCAAGGTGGCCAAACGCAGCGTCCCAAGGAGCTACAGCTTCACCTAGCGCTTTCACTGCTCCTGCTCCTCTGACGAGCAAACCTGTTCCACTGCCAGGAATTAAAAAAGGGCAAGAAGCAAATGACTGCTGGAGGCAGCTCCTCTCCAGCTGCTGCCGCTCACCCAGCTAATGTCTGCACAAGCTGGTGACATGGACGTTTTCTGAGAGACCTTCATTATATTCACAGCCCCTCATGCAGCGCCAGGATGGAGTTTGGAGCTGGCCTGGCCATAGCTGGAAGAGAGGAAAACCGCCCAGGCGGCATCAGCCTGGAGAAGAGAAGGGTGAGAGGGGACCTGAGCAGTGTCTAGAAGTACCTCAAGGGAGGCAGTGAGGAGGATGGGGCCAGCCTCTCTTCACTGGTAGCCACTGACAGAACTAGAGGAAATGGCCACAGGAACTTAGGGAAAAAATTCCTTAACAGTGAGGGTGCCAGAGCACTGGAACAGGCTGCCCAGAGAGGTTGTGGAGTCTCCTTCTCTGCAGATCTTCCAAACCTGCCTGGACGCAGTCCTGTGCCACGTGCTCTAGGTGACCCTGTGTGTGCAGGGGGTTGGACTAGATGATCTCTAGAGGTCCCTTCCAACCTTCAGCATTCTGTGATATTAAGATACTATGATCAGCATCTCCTCCACGCACCAGGAACGCCCTGGGAGAAGACCCTTCACCTGTGCGTTATCCAGTGGATTTCATGCAGAATCTCATTTAACACAGTTGGCTCCCAGGGGTGTAGACAAGACAGAAGAGGCAGACTGCAGGAAGAAGCCTCCCCTTCAGTTGCTAAAAGCCAACAAAAGGCTTTTCATTAATTGCTACTTTGAAGTTAGCTTAGCCAAAGCATCCATTGAAACCATTTTATTGCAAAAGAAGAAGATTTTGTGCTGTCTCCATTCCCCCTATGCACAGGGCAAGCGCTGCAAAGCCAAGAAAGCGTAGCGGATGTTTTAATTTTAACAATTTCCTTGCAATTTCTGACAGATGGAGTAAGCATTTAAGGGATGTGAAAAGCACAGAATGTCCATTTCTATGGCCTTTCTGGGGACATCCAGACCACCTCAATCCCAAGCGAGAAGAAAGGCTTGAGCATCCACTTTGGTGATCTCAGATTTACCCCAACACAACCTAGAGCCATGGGACTTGACACAGTTGGCAGCTGCCACAGCCCATGCCACAGGCAGAGATCCTCAAGACAAGCCCAGGACAAGCAAATCCGAGTGTTGCATGGACATGGATTTGCTCATGGAGGTGGGTGCTACCAGGAAGGCTGGATGAAAGAGTCCAGCTGGAGCAATGTGCTGATGTGGCCATACTGCTTCTGTAGACATCCAGGGGACACAGGAGATGCTAAACTGGCTTTGCAGAGTGTAGACATGCCCCCCAGAGGGGACCAGAAAGATGGGCCTGTTCGTGGCTTAGATGGGCATGAACCTGTGTCAGGGGTGTCCCGAGAAGGGAAAAACAGAGGAACTTCAAGAAATTGCAACATTCCTTGGAATGGGACGAAATAAACAGATTCCCAGTTGAGATTAAGATTCGCGTTATGCAAGTGCAGGAATGTCAGCTTGGAAGGAAACACTAGGCAAGAGGGCAGCGTTTTCCCTTCATTGCTTATAGGCTGCAGGGAGCTAATAGCCTGGAGTATGGATCCAGCTCATCAAATCTGGGCGATGGCCAATGATCTTTACAGGATCAGTGTTGATCTAACAGATGCAATAAGTAGCAATCTCACAAAGAAACCACCAAGGCCAACGTCAGATTTGAGAGCTCTGGGTTGCAAAGTGGGATTTAGGTGTTTTTACCTGTTCAAAGCTCAAGCATGTTAGCTATCCACAGAGTATTTAAATTCCTTCCTCTCAAAAGCCTGAAGAATGTAGCTGAGATACTGTCATCACCAGGCAGCATATTTAAATTCCTTCCACTCAAAACTCTGACGATAATGTAGCTGAGATACTGTCATCACCAGAATTGCAAAGAAAAGGCCAATAAAATCTTAAAGGCCTACAAATTTGCCAGCTGTTTGGACTGTGTTTCAGAGAAACCCCATCAGAGATGTTACTAATCTCCTCATCTAATGGAAAACAGCCATGCTGTAAAGTTGCATAGCTGCATCCTTATTTTAGCCAATATGAGCAGATTTTCATCTGTTAAAATAGCACCGAGCTACTTAAATTAACACTAGTCACACAGGAACAAGGAGAAGAGCCTACCCTGACTGTACCATTTGGCAAAATCTCATGTCATGCATGGAACCTTTGGACTATTTTTGCAATAGCTTCAAGTATTCCTGGAATGATTTAAGAAAACAGTCAAACTGTTGGCATCTTTACTAGACTATGATCAAAAGATACATGAAGATTAACACGATCAAGAGAGCATGACTCTACGACAGGGTGAAACTGCTGGGCGGCCAAACACTCCTACGGCATTCCCCAGAAAAGGAAGGCAAATGAAGCAGTCTTGGTGAGCAACACCAGCTGTGCTGCTGCTGCTGCTGCAAAAAAAGTTGTTTCTTTACTGTGCAAAACCATCCCAACCCGTCTCAAGTATCAAACTTACTGTTTGGATGGAACATCTCACACGTGAACCTCATCTTCGGAGGACTTAGAGGATAGTCGAGTGGGAAGCTCAGAATAGCAGGGAAAACCCCATACTCAAAGCAGGTGTCTTCAGGACCCCTGGAAAGAGATAAAAAGCCATTCACAAAGCTTTCAGTATTTCTTTCACCCAAAGTCTGGTCTAATGAGGCACCTTAGGTTTGGGCTGTATCATGGTGTTCTCAAGAAGACAAAGAGTTAACACGCTCTTACCCCGCGCCTCCAAAACCGAACTCCAAGTAGGGGATAGGGGAGGGAAGGGGGAAATCAAAGCTTGCACACTAAATTACTAGGAAGGTCACAACACTGCTTAATTAGCAGGGTGTGTTGGGATATAATTGGAGTATCTGGCTCCAAGGCATGTTCCAGGATTTGAGAGCCTACATGTCAAGGGAAAGCACAGGCAGGTGTGGAAGCCCTGTATCTTTGAAGATATTCTTATGCTGCACAGACAGAGATGTCAAACATCAGCTCAAAAAAAAAATGATAATATAAAACAAGGATTAGGCAAGGAGTCATCTAATTGAGCTAAAAAGATTCGGGTTGCCAGGGCGAAGCGTAACCACACAAACACTTATCGCTATCTGATGCGAAAAAAAATACAGCAGTGTTTTGTGTTTGTTTTGTGTTTTACAAACAAAACGCAGGGGCTGCAAGGTGCAGGGCACACGTGTTTCTTGACAGGCTGCAGGTATTTAGCTCTCACCCCCTCGCATGCACCCCGAGCACAACCAGCTCTTGTTCTCTTGTAGAAACACCGGCTTTTGTGTTCGCCATCTGGGTCAAGGCGCCATCGGGGACGATATAAAGACACTTATTTTACCCTCTCTCCTCAAAACATATTTGGAAGATGAGCAAAAGAGTTAGTTTGACGTGATTTATTCAAGCTTGATGAACCATTTGGAAGTTATAAAGCAAACACGATCTCTCCTGATTGAAAAGATCAGTAAACAAGCTTCATCACCGAAGTATCTTAGCCAAGGAAACCTCATGCATTGAGCAGAAAGCTCTTCAAACAAGGGCTATATTGCATGGAAAATAAAGCTTAGAAATATATATGTACTTCCACCTCCCAGCTTATAAACACACTCTCGATGCCAGTAAGAACATAAAATTTCTAAGGCAAATGGTCAATGATGCCTTAGAGTTGAGACTGCAACAACAACCTAAAGTCAAGAGCAATGAAACCTAAAGCCCCAAGAGCTTCAACCTTGTTAAATTCTGGCACTCAAAAGACTTGACTGGTAAAGCTAAGAGAAATACCATAATCAAAAGTAACAAGCACTGTAAACCTGCATATTGGCATTTGCATGCAAGATCAGACAAATATCTTTTTGTGCTGCAAGAACCAAAGCTAAAAAACCACCTCAACCATTTTTGTCCCCTTTCTAAGTCTTTCCTCTATTTCGGATTCAATTCTGAGCATCTGAGAGTCAAGACAACGCATTTCTTTTCAGAAGCATTTTGATGCCAGCTGCATTTTCAAGGCTCATTGTTGAACTTCTAAGGGTATGTACATACACACATTGAAAAGCTGGTGGGCGTCTAATGTTCTCTTTTGAGAGCAAACCCACAGCCTCGAGGGCTCTTCTGTCAGATACGTTCACCAAATATGCTCCATTTTTAGGTCTTCTATTAAATGCGGAAATGGCTTTTGTTTCAGCCGTTCGTTACTGCGGGGACCGAGTTCAAAGAAATTAAGAGTTAATCCAGAACAGCATTTGCGACTACAAAAAAAACCCTCAGAAGGGCCCAAAACTCAACCGTGACAACATCCCTTTCAGTTCAAACACGGCATCAGCAGGGCCAAAGAGGCACAAAGCGCAGCAGGGTTTGTAATTCCAACACCTGTCCCGCCGGGATTTCAAAGCACTTCAGATTTTCAAAGCCTTCGTGCTATGATCTCACCTGAGCTGCTAGTCGGAGTCCAGGGCTGGGAGGATCGGATTAGGATTCCTCCAAGAAAAACCCAGACTGTGCAGAAGATGAAGCAAGAAGTACCTTAAGCCAAGTTTCCAAACCCCCAAAAGAGGACGATGCTTCTTAACCACGTGTGAGGGATGCTGGGGATTTGCACAACGCCCACGAGAGCATCCAAACAGCCCTGCACAATCAGCCTTTACCTCATTTAGCCCTTTTCAGCCCAAAGGGTCGCTAAGAAACTTGTAGACTTCTGTAGTCCAAGAACAGCCCTCCAACCTCCACAGACATTCACTGACCAGCAGCAATATCACAGGAAGGATTCGAAGCAGGAGCTGAAAGAGTGACGTTCAGCAAAGGGGAGGGAGGACAATAAGTAGCTGGTACCGAAGCACTCAGATCTCCTTCCGACCCAGTTCCTGGGACAAGAACTTGCTTCAACTTTTCTTTCCCGTTTGTGTTTTTGTTTCGTTGAGACTCTATATTGCCCCAGGAGACTAAGACAAGGACTCCTGGGTGAATATAACAAGCTAACAAAAGGTCATTTTATTCCCATACTATATGTAAGGATGTTGCACCCAAATGCAGAGAAAACCATGTTAGGAAGAAGTCTGTTGACACGTGGAGATAAGAAATTCTCAACTCCATGAGCTGGATATTAATTATGAAGGCAGGGAAAGGCAAGTGTCTGCCAAAACAGCAGGGAGAGGCGAAGCAGGACGGATACCTCTATAGTCACACCTTCACCCTGTTTGTAAATGGCTTCTTAGCTGTAAAAGAAGCTGCAAAAAAGACCCATGCCCACAGGCATCAGATGCCAAAAGGGGAATTCCATGCTAAGCAAAACAGAAGTCATACGCCTATATGTAGGTCTAATTAGCTTTCTCAACAGTTTCTCTTTTTTGATAGAATGGCTTCGATTGATATTGGTTTTCAAGCAACCTTTAAGCTAGTGAAGTTCTTAAAAATCATGTGTTCTTATGTCTTTGGGAGATAAATTCAATAGCAACACACCCTTGCATGAACCAATGGTTTTGAGGTTCCTAAGCCTGGTCAAAGAGGACAAAACCACTCAGACCTTGCGTGCTAAATTCACGAGCTGGCACACCATGATGCAGCCTGCTGGACTCCACGCGGCCCTGGAGAATTAAGCAGTGTTTTAAGGAACCCTTCGGACACATTTTGACGAGATCACCACTTACATTGCATTTTTGCTTCTGGATTTGGCCAAGCACACCTGCTTTGAGAATATAAGAACTGTTCTTTCACACATGCATGTTGGTACAACCTTAACATTTATGCTATTTCCAGCAGTACTGCTGTGGGCAAGAACATGGGAAATACAAATTATTATTATTTTAAAAGAGATTATTTTATCTCTAAGTCAAGCTCTTACATCAATCTCCGTAACACTTCCCAGCCCACTTTTGGATTGATAAATGGATGATATCTTGGACTTTTCTCTCTTAGGGCCCATTTCTTCTTATTTATTTGAGATTATATATGCTTTATACAAATGGGAGGTAGAGAAGGAAAAAAATATGCTCCTTACTTATCTTTTATGCCTCATCTGTCTCAAATCTGAGGCCGATCTTGCTTTAATTTCCGCATCTGCACTTCTGTGTCATTCCCAGAATCTCAAATTTGGGATTACAAAACATTACAGAGGATCATCACAGTCAAATATAAACCAGTTATTTAGCTTGCTCTCTATACATACTCAAACATTTCTTATTAAGAGAGCTCTGTCAAGGGATGAAAGTAACCAAACATGTTTAGGGTAAACATGTTGCTATTGTACCACAGCTTCAAATTTAGCAGATGTTAAAATATCATTTTATTATGACACACGTACACACACACACACAGTGCAGAAACCAAAATTAAAGCACCTCCGCCCCTCAGTTTGCGCTGACAAAGACCTCAAGCTTCAACACTCAGCACTTTAGAGGGCTTTCAAGTCTGCGAGCTGCTCATCTGTTTAACTTCTTGTTATGGGAAACCTGGGGGGGAAAAAAACTGTTTTCTATGCAATAAATTAAACATTAAAGTACTTCTTGGAGTGTCCTCCACGAAAGCTCTAATCAACCACAAAATCTCTGCTACGAGAAAGTATTGATAGACAGCAACTTCCTTCCACATTCCAAGAAACGCGCTGAGCTTAGGGATCCCAATGGATTTAAAGCAACATTCAGCTTTCCGAATGGAGATGTCATTCATTAACAAGATCATGCTTAAAAAAGTGCTAACCACCCCCACTTAATGAAAGAACAGAAAGCATTAGACATTGCAGACTTCTGGGGGCTGGACAACTAATTTGCCTATTTCTATGTTCAGTGTTTGTCTCCAGGAGACAGAAATATCTGAGTTAAAAATACTCTTAGCAGTGACCTCAGGGGCCAGCAGACGGACCACCTGGCCCTTCCTAAAGGAGGGTAAACCACTACTTTTTGCTTAAAACACTTAAAAGAGACTGAAAAGAGAAGATGCAAATGAAATCCTCAGTTAACTCTGAACACAACACTGGGGCATTTGGATAAACAGGACTGACAGAGGTCTCTCTCTTCCCCCTCACGACAATTTAGAACTTGAATTTGTAGAAATCGCCAGTTATTCCATACATTCAATTGCCAAGGAAAGGCACACCACGAGCAAGTTAACCAGGAGAGACTTGCCAGATGTTGGACAAGAAGATTGTCCACAAGATTGCCTCTTTTCAAGCTAAACCTTGCTGCAAACAACTGTACTCACCAGCTCAGCAGGAGGACAGGGCTTCACTACCCTCCCAAAAAACAACCGCTTGTGAGCCAGAACCTTCTGCATGGGGTCACTGCAACCTTTTCAGCACCAACTGATTCATGAAGTTTGAGGAATTTTAAAAGGTTTTACAGATTTTTTTTTTAAGTTTGAATAACCTGTCCCCTTGCATTTATCCAGAAGAAATCTGAATAAGTTTGAGGAATTTTAAAAATCTGTAAAACCTTTTAAGTCCTGTCCCCTTTCATTTATCCAGAAGAAATCTGAATAAGTGATTTTAGACGTGGATTTTTGCATTTTCTATCACTGCTAAGTTGCCTATTTTTTTTCTACTGAGAGCATGAGAAAACGCGCGCTGTGTTTGCCGATGAGCCACGTTCCCAGAAGGTTACTGTGATCTACTAACAATTTATCATTTCTTACAGTACAGCCACGTAATTCAGTGCTGGCCACATGGTGGCTCCTGTAAAATCTGAGAGTTACCCATGTGGAATGTTTTTTATTATAACTGCTATACAAAGCCAGCACCAGAGATCTCCACTTAGACCCAGCCATGAGCTTATCACAGTTTAAAATCCAAATGTAATTCCTTGTCTGGGGTGGACAAGAAGTTCCCATGCAAAGACAGGCCAAAGTGTTATGCAGAATTAGGATGTTTATGTTCTTCTCCTCCTGAAAGCTAACAATATACAACAAGTGATGATGTCAGATAAAGACTCACATCACCACAGCATTAACTCACATAATCAGAGCTTCCCACTCAAAGAAGTTCTCTTCGTTCATGGGACCTATAAGGAAGAAAATTAAAACAACGTTTAAGGCCACCAGAAGGCAAAGGCTACAAGCCCACGGTGCACAAACTCGGTTCGGTTCCTCACCTGCAACTATCCCTTCTGGTGGATTCAAGGTCAGTTCTGCAAAGAGAAAAACACGGGCAAAGTTAGCAGGAAGGCATCTCCACATCTGAGCGTTTTGGATGGTTGCACAGCCACATCTCAGCCCTGAGGCACCAGGAGGAGACACCCATGGGGGAAAGCTGGAGAAGACCATGGCCATAATGCCCTGCCACGCAGTGCTGGGCAAGACTTCCCAACCAGAAGGCCCAGCTTCTCACTGCTGACAATTTCACTTCTCCATGCAAGACTTAAGTTACTGAGCAAAACTATTTGGGGTCTTGGGATTTGCTCCACAACCTGGAGAGAAAGAGGTTTCCGTCCCCATCAGCACATTGATTCATCCCTGACAGCATCTTAATGCAAACCACCAAATGCAACACAAAAAGGTGAAGGAGCAGAAGTGGAGATCCCTCCAAGGCTGCCGAAGGGCAGCATCCTGCACACGGATGAAATACTGACTATTTCTTTGCACTGTACAAGGACATACGGATCCGCTTTCCTCGCTGCTCGCCTCCGGAGCCATTCCAGGCGGGAGTGCTTGCAAGGCAAAGTTCACCTGGACAAGAAGGTGTCCAACCTCACACACCAGAGGTTTCGGAGGCCGCACGCCGCTTCGGTGACCCGCAGGCAACGCGGGCACAGGCAGAGCTCCCAGGGCTCGGGAACGCCGTCCCGGAGAGCGTTCCCAAGGGAGCACCCGCGGACGGGCAGCGAGCGCGACCGCGGCGGGAGGCGCCGCGCGGGCGCCCGCGCGAAGCAGAGCCCGGGTTCTCATCTCAGAACAGCCCAGGCCCCGGTCCAAGGCAGGCTGATGGGAGAGCGAGCAAAACTCGTCACTAGGATCGCGCTTAACTCGGGTGCTCGCTCGGTTAAGCTCAGCACTCGACTTCGGCGTCACGGGTTCAGCCTGCATCCCAAATGGGAGAATCGGGGCATTAAAGAGCAGGTTTTTCCAGCTGGAGAGTTGGGTCCCTTGAACAGCTTCTCCCCGCACGTGGTTTTTAAAAACAAATAGGGAGATGTGGAACTTGGGGACTATTTTGCACCATCTTGTGGCCATTTCTGTAAAATGATCTCTCCAGCCGCAGGTCCAGGAGAAAAACCTCAGATGAGTGGAGCCTCCCAATGATCTTTGGGACAGGCGAGCCGGGCTCTCCCAGCCAGGGAGCACTGGAAAAGCCCTCCTGCCAGGAGCCAGCACCACGAATCTGCCCTCCTCACCTGAGACTTTGGGCCCATTCTGCAAAGCTGGTGCTTGAGCTGCTTGAGTGGGGGGACCTGTTCACACCACGGCCTTGCAATGCTTGAATTTTACACAGAACTAGTCACCAGCACCAGGAACAACAGGATGCAGGAGATTAACAGCCGCCCAGGACAGCCCTTGCATTACCCTAGCAGGAGGTGAGCTCGGGTTTGTCCTGGAACAAGTTTGTCAGCAGCAACGTCCTCGTGGGCAGCTCCGAGAGGCCGACGGACCAGGAGACTCTCTGGGCAACGGTTCAAGCAGGAAGCCAGAAGAGGGATCTTGTAAGCAAGTAAATGAATAAATATTTGGAAAGAGGTAAAGGGAAGAGTTATCATGAAAAGAAAAGTGTCTGTGGGACACCAAGGAGCAGCGGTGTCACAAAGAAGAACCAGGAGTTTGGGGATTGCTGGTGCTTTAGGCGCACACTGGGGAAGCCTGCAGGCATTTGGAATGATGGATCATGTCCTTAAAAGAGGAGTTCAGCAGCTTCCCAAAACTCTCCCAATTTGGGCCACCTCCAAGGTGACAAAAAGCACAAGACCAGGGAAACGCTGCGGGCAACATCCGTGCATCAGCACCCAACGGGTCCGGACTGGAATGCTGGAAACTGCCCTCATTTTCTCCCGAGCCTGCACCAAATTTCCAGTTTTATTTCCTCTTCCCTGACCGAGCATCTCCGCGTCACAACGGACAGGGCCACCCAAGGCAACGGGACCTTGCGCATCCCTCCATCCTGCCTGTGGCAATGGGAGAACCCGGGCAGCAGGAGAAGCCCTCGCGTTCCAGGTCTCGCAGCATTGCCCGCGGCAGAGGCAAGAGGAGGATTTCCATCCCCACCCTCCCATGAGCTCCTATCCAGACTCGTTTCAGACTGAAACACCATTATTTTAAATTTAGAATTAGAACCTAAAGCATGTGTCCCAATAGGGGCTAAGCCAGGGCTTCTTATTTTTGCTGAACTCTGTAAAAAATAGGTGAGAGACAGCAAAATAAACAAATAAATAAATCAACACACTCCAAAAATGTGTCTAAACAGAGATAAAAAACAAGTCCATCTTCTCTGGCTATCCACAGCCTTTTAGTGATACTCCTTCCTTCTCCCCAAGGAAGGGAAAACCGTCATTTCACAGCAATGTCCCAAAGGGCGTTTAGGCTCCAACAGGCTGAAACTCACACACGCGGAAATCAAAGGCCCAGACTAAACTAAAACTGAATATTTAGGCCTACTCTATCTCCCCAACTCAGGTCCCCAGAAGTATCACACAGTTAGACACTGTGGGTTGCATCCCTTTTTTTCCTAGCAGTGCATTAAAGTTGGGAAATTACAGAACAAAATCAGAAACAAGATGTTATCTCAGTTCCTGGGGAGAGTTGCACCAGCAGCAGTTTGGGGATGATTCACACAACACCTCCCTCAAACGTTAAATCCTTTTTTTTTTTGATGCTACATCCCTGGACAATTCATTCCTGCGAAGTATTTCAGTAAGATCGCAGAGCTGCTCAACAACAGAGGATCAAAACCTGCCTGTGGGGACAGAGCGGGGTTTATTGAAGAGATAAAAGCAGGGCCAGGGCTTTTTTTTTCTTTTGCTGGTTGCTTTCAGCTCGGGGATTCTGGATGGTGATGGAAAAACGCAGGTTTCTAGGACACGGCGTCAGCACGAGTTCAACCCACACAACGGCACCAACAGGAGCAACAACAGCATTTGCAGAAGCAACAGCTCCCACCTAGCAAAGACACAGCCCATTGCATTTCCCATTCTGCCTCCTTACCTTCCATAAAAGCCACATTTCAAGAGCTGGGAACAACAAGGTCAACGAGAAAGAGCTGTGTTTCTCGCAGGAGAAACCCCCACACCACGTAAGCAGCTGATCCGGGCCGCACAAGCAGGAATCTGCCGGGCATTCCCCACGGAAGCAGGAAAAACGAAGCAGCCTTATTGCTCCCTCTGGTGGGATGAGCCAGGAGAAGGAGCAGTCACGCGGCACAGCGGATTTCTCCAGCTGGGGATCTATCCGCAAGTCACTCCTCCTTATTTTAGCAAATAAATCTATGTTGGAAATCACTGAAGTCTACCTTAAACATTTTCCTAACTGCAGGGAGCCCATCAAGTTCTTGACCAAGCACCTTAACCCTCTCCCAGGTAAGAAAAGCGTGAGGCAGAGGCGACTCCAGCTGCGTTTTGTTCTACCTGGAAGATAAAACTTAGCAAAAATAGAACAATTTGGCAACTCGCCTGGGATTTCCAGCCCTCTGCTACAGCTACACTCCCGGGATGGAGAAAATTCCACATTAACAGGGCAGAAACTTGGAGTTTCGTGGCAGCAAGAGGTAGCACAAGCGGCAGCCAAGCCCAAGGCGCCACAGAGATTCCTTGCTGGGGACACTGCCACGTACAACAGCACTTCCAGAGATGGGGATGAGCGAAAACAACTCGCAAGTGGCCAAAAACACCAAGAAATGACCTCGAGGAGGAAAGTGGTTTTATTCCCTCTTCGCTTCCCTCTCTCACGCTCGCATTTGGACCCCCAAGGCTGTCCGAGGTCGGGGCAGAGGGGGACGGTGCTGGGGAGGCCCCAACGCAAGCCCCCGTGCTGCCCTGTCCCCATTCCTCCAGCCCCTGTCCCCTGCGGCAGGGAACCCCACAGCCAGCCCCTGCCCCACAGCAGCCTCCCTGGGGCCACCCTTGCCCCACAGAAACCCCCTACTCCACAGCAGACAGCCCTGAAGCTTCCCCTGCCCCACAGCCACCCGCCAAGGCTGCTCCTACCTAGGCGGTCCCCTGCCCCACAGCCACCCATGCCCCACAACAGCCCCCCTAGGGCTGCCTCTCCCTTATAGGAACCCAGTGGCTCACAGAACCATCCCCTCCGGAGCTGCCCCTGCCCCACAGAAACCCCATACCCACAGCAGCTCTCTCCTAGGGCTGCCCCTGCCCCACAGCAGTCCCGTGCCCCACAGCAGCTCCCTCCTAGGGCTACCCCTGCCCCAAAACAACCCCGTACCCACAGCAGCTCCCTCCGAGGGCTTCCCCTGCCCCACAGCAGCCCTCCCTGGAGCTGCCCCTGCCCCACAGCAGCCGCCCGC